TATTAATATCACATACAAGTAAAATGTTGCTAAAGATAATACAAAAATGGCTGCAACCATTAACAAGGAGCTTTCAGGGGCTCAGGTAGGATTCAGATGGGGATGTGGAACAAAGGATATCACTGCTGACATCAGATGGATCTTGGCTGGAAGCAGAGAATAGCAGAAAGATTTTTACTTGTGCTTTATTGACTACGCAAAGGCTTTCGATTGTGTGGATCATGACAAGCTATGGACACCACTGTGGAGGAATGAAGAACCTGTACATAGACCAAGAGGCAGTTAGTTGTTCAAATAGAACAAGGAAACACCGAATGACTTAAAATTAGGAAAGGTGTGTGCCAGGGTTGTATTCTTTCACCATGATTTATTCAATCTGTATGCTGAGCAAATAATCCAAGAAGTTGAATTATATGAATAGGAAGATGGCATCAGGATTGGAGGAGAACTCATGAACTACTTGCAATATATAGATGATACAACCTTGCTTGCTGGATATAAAAAGTACTTAAAATACTTACTGATGAAGATCAAGTCTACAGCCTTCGGTAGGGGTTGCACCTCAACGTAAAGAAAAAATTCTCATCACTGGACCAATAAATAACATCAAGTTAAATGAAGAAAATATTGAAGTTGCCAAAGACTTCATTTTGCTCGAATCAACCATCAAACACTAATGGAAGCAGCAGGCAAGAAATCAAACGACGTTATTAGGCAAATCTGCTGCACAAGTTCTCTTTAAAGTGTTGAAGAGCAACACTTTAAAGATCACTAAAGTGTGCCTGGCCTAAATCATGGTATTTTCAATAGCCTCATATGCATGTGAATGTTGGACAGTGAATAAGGAACACTTTAGAAGAATTGATGCATTTGAGTTATAATGTTGGAGGAGAATGTTAACAGCACCATGGACTATCAGAAAAACAACAAATCTGAGTTGGAAGAAGTACAACAGCTAGAATGCTCCTTAGAAGCCAGATGACTGTCGGGGACTGACCTTGACATATTTGTGTTGTTCACAAGTGTTTGGTTCATGAGGAGGGGAGATCCAGCGGCGATAGAGATAGCGAAAGAATACACAGACAGACAGGAGGAGGGAGACAAGGAGGCACCCAGAAACCAGGGTGGATGCATCACTGGTGGGCAGATTTGGGACTACAGGCATCGTGGCCTCTGCAGGCAGCAACTCACTGCCCTGCAATCTTTACTGCATGCCCTCCAACTTGTAATGCACACCTGGGACGGCGTGCGCCTCGGTTTTATTTAGGGGAGGAGCTTCACACCAAGCTGGGAGGGACTAAAACAGGATACAGCTAGCATCAGTAATTTTCCAGACATTCAGGTAACTTTATATCGTACTTCGCTGGTTCGAATCCCAGGCCCACAACTTGGTTTCTCAGGCTCAATTAACATATCTATAGCCCCTGAGCTCAGTTGAGAGAAGGTGAGAGGTAAGGACAAAAGGCTTGGGCAGAGTCCCGCTGTTTCGGCTTCCTGAGCCAGGTTTTCAGGAACTTGGCTGAAAAGCTAACACCTAGAACAGATTTAGGGAAGATGGCCTTTTTGTCTGTAGAACAAAGAACTGGGAAGTAGCTAAACTATTTTCAGTTAATCATTTGGAGAAAGACTTGACCTTGCAACCTTTACAGTCGGGCTTTTAGGAAAATATCACATTTATCTGTGGACATTAAGGGCTCATGTTTGGAATTAATAAATATAACTGAACACTAAGATGAAAAACAATTTGCCATTAACTGCCAAGTGGCCAGAATTTTTTCCTCAGAGCCTGTGACCTGTAACACTCGGGCCTATAGGGCCTTGAACTTCTGACCAGGCCTACATGGTCTGCAACAGATGACCACACTTTATTTCTCATACTTTAGATACGTTATCAGGAGGGACCAGTCCTTGGAGCAGGACATCATGCTTGATAAAATGGAGGGTCCATGAAAAACAGGAAGATCCCCAATGAGATGGATTGGCACAGTGGCAGTAGCAAAGATTGTCAGAATGGCGTAGGACTTTGGCTGTATTTCCTTTTGTTGTGCACAAGATCGCTATGAGATGGAATCAGCTTGAACTCACCTAACAACAACATTGCAATTTAGTCCTTAGCTTGTGAGTGCCAAGAGGCAGGATACATGGCTGTTCTTTTGCTGGTATAAATGTGTAAACCAAAACAAGCAGAGTATGATATAGAGGTAGCAGTAATAGCACTGGTCTCTCTTTATGGCAGTGGAAGTACTAATTTCCAAATTGTAGAAAAATTAGGGTTGTCTGGCTCTGTGCTATGGTTTGTAAGGTGTTCTTGACAGGTTAATTTCTAACCAAATTCTGACCAATTTCTAAAGTCAGCTGCCCCTCCTGAAAATTCTGTAAATCTTTAATTGAAAACAAAAACCTAAGCCAGTTCCTATCGAGTCTATTCTGATGATCAGTATTACTCTGTCTGACAAACAGGCCCCATGTTTGTCAGAGTAAAACTGCTCCATGGGGTTCTCTGTGGGTGATTTTCTGGGAAGTAGATTGCCAGGCCTTTCTTGCAAGGTGTCAGGGGAACTCGAACCTCCAACTTTCCAATTAGCAGTCAAATACGATAACCATTTGTACCACCCAAAGACTCCCAAGTTTTCAGTATGCAGTGATTAATCCTTTCCTGCTAAAACTAATTAGAGTAAATTCTGTTCTCTGCAGTTGAAACCTACCTGATATATGAGTTAAATATAAACAACAAGAAAACACATCACAGTAAATAATATTCATATATTTAAGTAAACAATTTTCATGTGCAATATAACAGATCTGTAATATTTATTTTTATAGACAGGTAAAGACACCTTACAACTTCAATATAATGAACATATATAATGAATATATTGGTTCAGTTTGACACAACTACGTAAGATTTTTAGTATTAGGAACAACCCATTGAGTTTAACAAGCAATAACTATAAAACTATGTGTTCAACTTCTCTCTTCTGTAGACTCAGAAAATAAAGTTGTATTTTTAACTTGGAATTATAATCTTTTTTGCTATTCATAAAATGTCTTTTAAGTATTAAATTTTAATTAATCTAGGCTAAAATACAATACTCAGTAATCTTTAATATTCTGACTTTAAAATCTTATCAAATATGAACATATATTCTTAAGAAATTATCTCTTTTGTAAAGACAATTGACAAAATATTCAACAAAGTGTGTATAATAGTTCCTTTGCATATAAGCACAGAGCTTTGTGTCTTTCTGGAGCTACTGTAGTATTATTTAACAATCATTGCATAATAGTAATTCAAGATTTTTATGTGATACTTTCCATATAAACTATTAACTAGGTTTTAACATTTAGATATATTTCAGAATGTCATTTTTGAGAAAAAAGGATGTCTAGGTACCCAACTATCTCTTCATGTAGCAATTTCTTTGAAAAGACAAGGTTGACCACATCATTTTAAAGACACTGCTTAGTAAAAGTTTGGCTATGCCTAATTCATGAAATTTTCTGAGGATTAGCTTGAAAATTCGTGAAACTGAAAAACAACAAAAAAAGGTCTCTGGTGACAAAGTCTTCTATATTTGGCCTCATCAAAGGCTGTGCAAATTTCTTCCCAGGAAGGTGGACTTTTCAGGTGACTTTGAAGGCTGTTTGCCCTTTCACTGTTCCACATTTTAAGTCAAAGGGCTTGAAGAACGAGAATTACGTTGGATGAGTTCAATTTACTAAATTAATTAATAAATTGCTGTTGCCAGAGACAGTGGGGAAGATAGGACAGGTGTGGGTTGCTTTTTTGGTTTTTTTTTTTTTTTTGCTGTTGCTGTTGTTTGATTTTTTTCCAATGCTAAGGAAGCCCATTCTACGTGGGCTTTCGTTGTAATGACTGAATACAAGCTACAAGCAGTATATAGCATATCGAGATTACATAGCTAAATCAGATTGTCACACATTTTTAGCTAGATTCTGGCAATTCTATACATTACCTTGACAATCACTATACACAGTATACTTGATGAACTTGCCAGACGAATACTTCAGTCTTAGTGTAACTATTCTTTATGTAACTTGAAATATGAGTGCTGAAAATCTAAGATCTAAAGCTAGAATCAAAGTGGTCCCAAACTATTCTAAGACAAATGCCACAAAAGTAATGCTCAGAAGAATTTCAAGTAATTTCTTAGTCTAATTTGAGATACATAGAGTTAATGAAACTTTCTTATGAGCTCTTGTGAAAAGGCTTACATCCAAATTCAATATTATTTTTCCTTTTATCAGCTTAGAGTCTAAAGTTCTTGATTTTCTTATTTTAAAATCATAACAGAGATAGAAATGCAACTCAGCAGCTTCAGGTAAGGAAAATGCAGAAGCTACTAAAAAGCAAACAAACAAAAACACCCACACATTTATTATTAGAAGACAAAATTAGGTTAACTTTAAAATATCAACAATATTTCAATTATGTAACTTGAAAATGGGGCCTTCCAAATGGCAAATTTCCAGGTAAATAAGGCTATATACTTCAGAGTTCAGTCTTCTACAGCATTTTCATAGATCTGAAACAACTTGGAAATTAGGGTTTATCCATCTTACATACCACCATTACTGATACTCAAACACAACACCATCTTTTGAAAATCATCAGTAATTCATATGTAAAGAGCAGCACAATCTAGTTATTTACATACTAAAAGTGATATGGTGGTGCCCTCTGGTGGTCATATTTAGCATTTCCCCTTGACACTGTGGTGGTGGTGGTTATGTGGCCTGTGGAGTCGGTTCCGACTCATAGCGACCCTGTACAGGGTTTATCTTGCGAAATAAAGAGACAAATATTTGTATTTGAAAATTTGAGGATCACCACAAAGGAAAAAAAAATCCCTGTGCTTCAGAATATCTTTTTTTGGCCTTCAAACACATTGGTAACAAGATAAAGCTAAATCTCTGTGCCATACTCCCAGGAGTCAAGCTGGTAGCTGCAGGAATCTTGGCAATTCCTGTTAAGAAATTTACTTCTTGGTTCTAGACCTTAACTGAAAGGTTTTTGCATTTTCTAGCTTGGCTTTTATGTCTATGGGTTTCTCAAAAAACCTCACCAATGCAGGTTCATTCAACAAAGAGGCAAGAATCTGTTCAAATGCGAATGACCACTGAGGGTCCTCCTTGAGAGAGGAAGGATCTTTCTCAGGCCAGTGGCTCTCTGTTGTCCCCTCACTTGCTCCTTCAGAAGCACTGACAGTCCCAGAAAGTCCTTTGGCTGATGATGTAGGACTATGTAGTTTCCTTCCAACTTCTTCCATCTTGAGTAAAAGTCTGGTTACAACAGCAATGGCTTGATATAATGACTCTTCTTCAGGATCACCATGGAATAAGTTATACAGGGTCTTTGAAAACTGAATAAATTGTGACTAGAAAAAGACACAAGTTGGAAATTTCACATTTGAATGTCAGATTTAGCAAGTATAAAGAGAACTTAGAAGTGAATAGTCTCCTTTACAAAATTTGTACTACGTAATAATCTTCATCCTAAAAGCCACAAGAATTGATGATTAATCCCCAGATAAAGATTAGTTCTAGAAAGATGGGTTTGAACTATGAAAGAAGGAAGAATGTCTCATTAATTTTCTAATAGTAGCACGATATATCAGTATTGACAAATTCCTGAGACTTTACCTGCCAGCATTACTGCAACGTTAAGTGGTATTTTAAATCAGGTACTTTCCCATATTTCCCTACATGGAAATCATTCGATCATTAACCAAATTTATTGAAAGGATGAACAATGAGTTCCACCTAATCTCTACAAAGGGCTTGAAGTGGGCAGTTCAGCTAGGATTGTTTAAAGGAAGGACAGACTTTTGGAACCTATCCTGGTATGGCGCTGTGGGTTAATGTGCCAGACTGCAAAACCATTTGAACTGCAAGGTCGGCAGTTCAAGCTCACCAGCGGCTTCTTGGAAACCCTATACAGGGTCGCCATGGGTCAGAACCAACTCGACAGCACTTAACAACAACAACGACGACTAGTAGATCTAAGAAGCTCATTTGGGTATACTCTTCTTTAAAGGCTGAGGTGGAGATGCAAACTGGTTTGTCAGCTAATTGCCCTTGTTGTTTTGTTGTTGTTAAGTACTGTGGAATCGGTTCCAACTCATAGTGACACTGCACAGGGTTTCCGAGGCTATAAATCTTTGCGGGGGCAGAAAGCCTCATCTTTCTCCCATAGAACAGCTGGTAGTTTCGAACTGCCGATCTTGAGGTTCACAGCCCGATTCATAACCACTACACTACCAGAGCTCCTTAGATAATCTGTAGTCCTGGTGTGGTGCTGTAAGATAAAGCACTGGACAGTAAGGTCACTTGAACTGCAAGGTAAGTACTTCAATCTACCAGCCGCTCTTTGCTATGAGTGGGAACTGACTTGACAGCACGTAACAACAATCTATAGATAATTCTGGAAGATATTTGTGTGCCATTTTGTCAATTAATAAAAATGATTCTAACACAAAAGTGTCCTAATAAATCAATCATCCCATCAAAAAGCTTACCTGTAAATAAACAGCAAATATACAGGATATAGTTTATAAAAAATACACGAGGGGGCTTAAAAAATTTGTGGGAAAAAAGTTTATGGGAAATGGAATGTGAAGATAATGGAATTGTTTCACAAACTTTTTGAAGCAACCTGATATTGTAACAAACTTGTAAATTTGATTTCCCTTTCTTCCTTAAGCTGTTCATTCACAATAAACTGAAAATAGATATGCCATATTAACTCATTTTATAAAGAACTTAATCAATTGTCAATTATCTAGTACATTGAGAAATACCAAGTACTTTGATACTTCTCATAAGGGTAAAGTGTTAGGTATCCACGGTACCTATGTCAACCAGATCTTTTCTTTTTAAGTTTAAGATTATATTCTGTGTGCCCTTTGGTTGTTTAAAACAAACAAAACAACAACAACAATAACAAAACCCCAGAGGGAATAGAAGCAAATACTGTTGATGATGCACAGAGGAGATTGTAATCATTGCAATGAAGAGTGTAAAATTGCTGTTTCTTCCATGTAAACTATCACTCAATTCACAATAAAAATGTAAAAAAAAAATTCTGAATGAATGTTGTTGTTGTTAAGTGCCATTGAGTCGGTTCTAACTCATAGCAACCCTGTATAGGGTTTCTAAGTAGCAGATGGTGGGTTTGAACTGCCGACTGCCCTTGTGGTTCGCAGTCCAGTGCTGATCCACACCAGGAGTCCACTGAATAATGGTACAAAATAGATGAATTTAGAATTGTGTCAATAGTAGTCATCTGTATTGCCTGAGTAGGTTTAAATATAAGCTCACTAGGAAACAGGGCTGGACCTATTTTCACAATTTTGTATTCCTAGTTGCTAGCTTTGGGGTTGGCAACTAGTTGTTAGCTGCCATCGAATGGGTTCTGACTCACAGTGTTCATGTATAGAGTTTCCAAGGAGTAGCTGGTATGTTTGAACCGCCTACTTTGTGGTTAGCAGTCCAGTGCTTATCCTACAGTGCGCCACACTAGGACTGACTGGATCTATTTCAGTGATTTTGTATCCCTAGTAGCTAGTTTGGGGGTTGGCAATTAGTAGACACTAAAAATGTTACTGAATGAGTGAACATTTCCAATACAGTTGGAAGAGAAGGCATCAAAATCTATGTTATACATCTTTGCTATTTAAGTGCAAATGTTCATAACCGAGGAATTATACTAAAACATTAAGATGCATTTATGTGTTTAAAATAAAACTTTGAAAAAATTTGTTCCCACTCTTATGTGCTCATCTGAAAGTTAGAGTGACAATACAGAGTACTGAACTATTTTCGTAATAAGATGTTAACTACTTTAAGGTTGAATTAACCCAAATTCATACAGACACTGAGAACCTAGAATTTTTGCTTTGAAAATACTATACCTGATTCATTCTTGGTAAATTCTTAATGCTTTCCTCTTTTTTGAAAAGTTCCTCTTGCCACTGACTCAGATATGCTTGAATATCAACTTTGCCTTTGCCTAAATGAGAGGAATAAAACCATTTCATAATGAACAGCCTGTGACATTTTTCTGAATTTTAAAGAGAATAATCATGACTGAAATAAATTTCACCGAGACATAAGAGTCCATTAAAATGAATCCAGTCAGATACCTGGATGTACTCTTTTTATTTCACCCACTGGCTCCCAGAAAAGTTTCCTATTTCCATTCAGACTAAGACTTTTGTTTGGGAAAGTTGGGAACAGAGATAATGTGAGTAGGAAGGGAGAAAGGATGTATTTATACCAAAGCAGAACATTGTGGCTTAACAATTTGAATTTCATGCAGACATTCTAATGCATATTGTTTTGTTAAGTGGGTCGAGTCTGTTCCAGCTCACAGTGACCTATCTGTATAGGGTTTCCAAGGAGCGGCTGGCCTGGTGGGTTTGAACTGCTGACATTGCGATTCCAAGTCCAGTGCTGATCCTACAGTGACACACCAAGAGTCCATTCCAATACATACTACAAAGTTAAGTTAAAAACAGCTTGTATATTATGTTCTTATTATGCATATAGCAGGTCTTTGTAAAAAACTCAAACACTATTATTTACCCATTCCTCAGAAGGGTTAAAGCAAGATGCTGCTGGTATTGATTTGTTAATACTTTTTGTAGGCTTCCTTGGAAAAATGGGTGGAAATATTGAACTGAATGACCAGGGGAATATGTAATATTTGAACAGTTCCTTAGCAACTATTTTTCTTTTCTAATAATATCCTGGTGTGGCACTGTGGGTTAAAGCGCTGGGACTACAAAGTCGGTTGAACTGCAAGGTCAGCGATTCAAGCTCACCAGCCGCTCCTCGGAAACACTATACTGAGGGAGGGGTGTCACTGGGGGTCGGAACAGACTTGATGGCACTTAACAACAACAACAACAACATTATTGTTGTAAAATACATGTAACATATTTGTCAATTTAATGTTTTTCACAGGCACAATTTAGTGACATCAATGACCAATATCTGCTGCCAAATTTCCCATTACCATAAACAAACTCAATGCTTCCTAAACAGCAATTATTGTCTAAATAAATGTTACTTAACAAAATAATAATAGAGTTTTGGAGTGTGATTTGACAATCCACTATCAAAAAATTGAACTTTTGGTGTGGAACTGTAGGATCAGCACTGGACTTCAAATCAGATCAAATCCACCAGCCGCTTCTTGGAAACTCTATACAGGGTTGCTATGAGTGGGAACTGACTCAACAGCACTTAACAACATCAACAAAATATTAAATATTCACATTCTTTGGCCCAGACTTCCCACACTATGTCCTACAGACATATTTGTAAAAGTATCTTTAAATATAAGTACAAAAGTGTTTGTTGCAGTATCATTTGGAGTAATAATTAGAAAAACATCTAAATGTCCATCAACATATTGTTGTTGTTAAGTGCCATTGGGTTGGTTCCAACTCATAGTGATCCTGAATAGGGTTTCCAAGGAGCAGTTGGTAGGTTTGAACTGCCAACCTTGTGGTTAGTAGTCAAATGCTTATATAGATAGACCTACTTATTGCAATAAATTATGGTTTTTATTGTAAGGTGCCACAGAGTTGATTCCAACTCATAGTGACCAATATGTACAGCAGAAGGAAACACTGCCCATGCTCACAACAGTTATGTTTGAGCCCATTTGTGATAGGTTAGGTTTTGTGTCGACTTGACTGGGCCAGGATTCTCAGTGGTTTGGCAATTGAGACGCAGTCATTCCCCATGATGAGAACTAATATAATGTAATCACTTCTATGATGAAATCTGCTATAAGCAGCCCATCAACTGAAAGGAGATTTCCACCGAGGTGTGACCAGCTTCCAGCATATTGGACACTCGGGCAAAGCTTGCTGCTTTCTGCTGGGTTTGGATCCTGCATCTGGCTTGTCACCCAACCTCCAGCTCTTTGGTTTGCACTTGAGCCAGTGGCCTACTCTATTGCCTGAGAATACTAGGAGTCATCAGAAGCTTGTCATCTTACCTACCTGACCTGCTAGCCTGCCATCTGACCTGCAAATCTTGGTCATCAGCCCTGTAGGTACATGAGTCAGAAGCCTCTAGCCTGACATCTGACCTATGGACTTAGGACTTGCCCATCTCAACAACTGTGTTAACCATCTCCTTGATGTAAGCGTCTCTTTATATATGCATGTATGTTTCACTGGTTTTGCTTCTTTAGAGAACCCAGCCTAAGACACCACTGTTGCAGCCACTGTGCCAGTCTATTGCATTGAAGGCCGTCTTCCTTTTTTGCTGACTCTCTAACAAGCATAACACTTCTTCAGAGACTGGTCCCTCCTGCATGAGATAAGTCTTGCCATGGTTTCTTCTAAGGATATTCTGGCTATACTACTTCTTCCAACACAGACTCTTTGACAGCACCAGAATTCAAATGCATCAATTGTCCGTGGTCTTCCCGATTCATTGTCCAGCTTATGCATGCATATGAGATGATAAGGGACATCTTGGCCTCTTTAACACTTTCAAGAGGTCTTTTGCAGCAGATTTTTCCAATGCAATACATTGTTTGATTTCTTGACTTCTGCTTCCATGGGTATTGATTGTGAATCCACATTAAATGACATCCTCAAATATGAGGATTTTTGTTTTCTGTTGAGGTAAAATCCATAGTACAGATTGTAGTCTTTGATCCTCATCAGTAAGTGCTTCAAGTCCCCTTTGCTTCCAGCAAGCTAGGTTGTATTATCTGCGTATCACGTGTTGTTAATGAGTCCTCCTCCAATCCTGATGCCACAACCTTCTTCTTCTAATCCATTTATTTGGATTATTTGCTTAGCATACAGATTGAATAAGTATAGTGAAGGGATAAAACCCTGACAAACACATTTAAACATTTTAAACCACGCTATATCCTGTTCTAGTCAAAGGCCTGCCTCTTTGGTCTATGCAAAAGGTTCACATGAGCATTAAGTGTTCTTGAATTCCCATTTTTTACAATGACCTCCGTATTCTGTTGTGTTGAAGTCCTTGCATAGGCAATAAAACTCAAGTAAACATCTTTCTGGTATTGTCTGCTTTTAGCCAAGATCCATCTGACAACAGCATGGATATTCCTTATTCTAGGTCTTCTGATTCTGGCTTGAATTTCTGGCATTTCCCTGTCAATGTGCTGCTGCAAATATTTGTGAATTATCTTCAGCAAAATTCTACTTGCCTGTGATATTAATGATGTTGTTAGATGATTTCTGAATCTGTTGAACCACCTTTCTTTGGAATAGTCACAAATATGGATCTCTTCCAGTTGGTTGGTCAGGTAGCTGTCTTCCAGATTTATTGGTGAAGTTTTCCAGTGTTGGATCTGTTTGTTGAAACATCTCAATTGGCTTTCTGTCAATTCCTGGAGCCCTGTTTTTCGCCAATGCCTTCAAGGCAACTTGAATTTCTTCCTTCGATATCATCACATCAGTTCTTGATCTTATCTGTATGATCAAGATAAAGTATGGCACAACCAAAAATTGGAATACTTTAAAATCCATTACAAATAATCATTCAAATGTACTGACATGAAAATAATGTCCATGATATAAATAAAAATCAAGCAAGCAAATCATAGAGCAATATCTATGGAATTAGTTTTTTAAAGAGATGTCTATATGTGTTCCTTTATGCCTAAAAACATGTCTGAAGAGGATATAAAACAACCTGTTTTCAGAATTTACCTCATGGCAGGGTTGGGCAGGGGGTGCGAGTACTTCCGTACTGTTTGAATTCCTTGGAAAAAGCTTATTTAGTACTTTGGTAATGAAAAAGAAATGGTTTTTAAAATAAAATTAAATGAATATAGATAATTTACTATTAAATTTTGTATAAATTTTGAAACTTAAATATCAAAAGAAGAAAAAAATAGTTAAACCAACATAAAGAAACTGAGAGGGCTCTGAGGACAAATAAATAGACTTTAAAGAAATTCACATTCCCCCTGTGTAGTTAATCCTATTCACAAAAACAATCATTTAATAAGCTAGATTAAACAGTATTCCACAGTACCTTTTTCAGGGCTGTTTTTTACTGATTCTGCCTCCTCCTTATTTGCAGGCATGGAAACTAGAGGAAAAGAGACATTTGGTATGACATTGGCCTTGTGAAAGTAAAATGTTCTGTATATAAATACTTATTATAAGTTCATGCTACTTTCTTCAAACCAACTAATCAATTGTAGCTAATATGACCTCTGTCATTAGAAGAAAAAGAACTTTTAGACTAAAAAGAACACTGAGGAAGAATCCATATTTTGAAAACTCCTAGAAAGAAGTATATGAAATATAGTAAGTGATTTCTGGACGTTATTTTCATCTAATGATATTTCTTGATTTGAATCACATTACTTTTACTATCAAAAGAAAGAAAAGTACACTGGAAGTCAGACATTCTGACTCATTATGAAATCTTGTATAAGTCACTTCTCTCTGGATCTCAGGGCCCTTATATATAAAACTAAAAGTCTTATGATTTGTAAGGTGTCTTCAAACTTAAGTTGAAATACTTTAACATACAGTAACCAAAAATACATTAATCAGACCTCATCCCTCCAAGAGGCATTGCATATTTATGAAACTGAAGCAAAGAGCACAAAAATAAACTCATCTCACTTCCAAATTTTGTCTTGGAGACAGATTCATTTCTGTCTTCTACATCTACAGTAATTAAAGTATTCATTGCTTGAATAACTATGACCCTAAATCAAAAGATTCTATTGTCTTCATTGTTTTTTCAGCAAGGGATGAAAATGGTCTGATACATTTTAGAAATTTCTGAATCAAAAGTAGAAACAGAACTCATTTTCTTTTAAATTATCCAGCAAACAAGAAATTCTGGAAATAAAAACCTGAAACTGCAGTTTGGCTAATCAGTTAAATATTTATGGGAATACTGTTGGTAAGTGTTGTTGAGCTGGTTCCAACACACAGCAACCCTGTAAAGGGTTTCTGAGGCTTATAAGTTGTTGCAGGAGCAGAAAACGTCATCTTTCTCATGCAGAGCAGCTGGTGGGCTTGAACTTCTGACTCTGTAGTTAGCAGTGCAGTGTTATCCTACAGAGTCATCACACTCCTTATGGGAATACTTACTAGGAACTTAACACTGTGCTAAGTGCTATCACAATACAAAAGAAGTATAATCAACCCAAATTTTAATAATTATAGTTGGGTTAGGACTCCTGGTGTAGTGCTGTAGGATAAACACTGGACTTTGAACCACTAGGTCGCTGGTTCAAACCCATCAGCTACTCCTTGAAAATCCTATACAGGGTTGCTATGAGTTGAAACCGACTCGACGGCACTTAACAAAAACAACAACATTGTTGGGTCAAGAAAATTTTAGGCAGGAAGATCTTTAGGAAAGCAATCATCAATATAGATAAACTTTTAAATAGTAATTTACCATGCAGCTGACTGAAATAAAGTAATTCTTCTTTGGAAAGTTCATCTCCTTTTGAAAGGTCCTGAGACTTCACATCCGTGTAAGCTGGAAACAGATAACCCAAACCACATTTACTAATGAGACAAACATGGGGGTGTTATCATGGGTCAGTGAAACTAGGGGCAGGAAATCAAACAAAGAGTCTCTGTATAAGAAGGACATATATGAAGAAATTGTATTAATGGGGCTGCATTTTACTAACAAAGAATGAAAACTACTTGGTCTTACTTTATAATAGCTTTCAGAAAGCCATTACAAATTGAAATAAGAAAATCTGGCATATGGAGATGTCTGAAAATGTGACCTTAGTCATTAAAACAACAACAACAACAAAAAAAAAAACCCCACTAACAAAATGAGGGACTGTGTGTGGTGCTGTAGGATAAGCACTTAACTGCAAGGTTGATTTTAACTGCAAAGTAGGCAGTACAAACTCACTAGGAGTTTCTCTGAAACAGGATCATTATAGGTCAGAATTGACTCCACGGCACTTAATATCATCATCATGCTACTCAAAGATTAGTTTTGAAGCATTAAATATTAAGTCATGCTGTGCTTTGTTGTTAAGTGCTGTGAAGTAGGTTCCAACACATAGAGACCCAGTATAATTTCCAAGGCTTTAAATCTTCACAGGAGAAAGCCTCATCTTTCTCTTGCAGAGTGGCTGGCAGGCTGGAACTGTGGACCTTGTGGTTAGCAGTCCAGTACTTATTGCATGGAGCTACCGCGCTCCCTTAAGGTCAGTGGGAAACTCAAAAGTAAACAGGAATGGTATGGTAACTTTGAGGCCGTTTGGTAGAATAGAAAGGAACCTGAGCTTTGGAGTGAGACCTCAGTTTGAATTCCAGCTATGTGATTTATTAGCTGTGTAATCTTCCACAAATTATTTCACTTTTTTCTAGTTTCCTTATCATCTCCACTGAGTGGTTTCCAACCTGTCTGGGCGGGGCTGGTGAAAGGAGATGGGGATAAGAGTCTTGTGGCTCAATAGTGAATAATTGCTATCAGGACTAACTGTGAGTGCTGTAAAGGTAAAGGTAGATGTTTTGTACCAAAAGGAGGGGAGTGGCTGATCTTGCAGTCCAGGAGTGGAGGACCCTGAGACAATCAAGGGAGAAGAGCAGAGTGCGGGACCCTGTCCAAAGAAGCAGTGACACCAGAGATGGAGGCAGAGACGAAGACATGGAAAGATGGAGCGGCTGGGGACTCTGGACTTAGGGAGGGAGAGGGGCTGTGTGCTGGTGGCCAGGGGGCAGGCTTGTTTTTTGAATGTTTACATATATATATATATTCTTGAGTGCTTCATTGTACATTAAAACAACAACAACAACAACACCCAAAACAAAACAAAACCAAAATACCCAGAGGGAATGGAAGCAAATGCTGTTGAATGATAATGCGTGGAGGGGATTGTAATTGTTGCAATGAAACGAAATACTTGAAATATGATAGAACGAATGTAAAGCTGATGTTCTCCCATGTGGACTGTCACTCAATTCACAAAAACTTAAAAAAAAAAATTCGCAAGAAAGTAGGATTTGAAGGGCAATTCCTCAACATAATTAAGAGCATATATACAAAACCAACAGCCTACATTACTCTTAATGGAGAGAAACTGAAAGCTTTCCTTCTGAGAACAGGAACTAGACAAAGATGTCCTTTGTCACCACTCCTATCCTATTCAATATTGGGAGTCCTGGTATGGCACTGTGGGTTAATGTGCCAGACTGCAAAGCCATTTGAAATGCAAGATCAGCAGTTCAAGCTCACAGCTGCTCCTTGGAAACCCTATACAGGGTTGCTATGGGTCATAACTGACTCGACGGCACTAAACAACAACAAATTCAGTATTGTGCTGGAAGTTTTAGCCAGAGGTATACGGAAAGATAGGGAAATTAAAGGCATCCAAATTCGCAGCCGTTCCACGGGAGAAAGATGAGGCTTTCTGCTCCCGTAAAGATTTACAGCCTCGGAAACCCTGTGCAGTGTCACTATGAGTCAGAACTGACTCCACTGTAGTTAACAACAACAACAAATTGGCAAAGATGGAGTAACACTCTATTTGCAGACGATATGATCCTATACATAGGAAACCCCAAAGACTCAGTAAAAAAAGCTACTAGACTTCATTGGAAGATTCAGCGAAGTGGTAGGGTATAAGATCAACATACAAAATCAGTTGGTTTCCTCTATACTAATAATGACAATGCTGAAAAGGACATTAGAAAAGCAATACCACTTACAATAGCTGTCCAAAGGATGAAATATCTAGGAATACATGTAACCAGAGAAACAAAGGACCTACACAAAGAAAATGACAAAACACTAATATGAGAAACCAAAAGAGACTTACAAAAATGGAAGAATATACCATGCTCCTGGATAGGAAGACTTAACATTGTGAAAATGTCAATACTACCCAAAGCAATTTATACATATAATGCAATCCCAATCCAGATCCCAATGACATTCTTCAAAGAGATGGAAAAAACAATGACAAAACTTTATATGGAAAGGAAAGAGACCCAGGATAAGCAAAGCACTGCTTAAGAAGAAAAATAAGGTTGGAAACCTCTTACTCCCTGATTTCAGAATTTACTGCACAGCTACAGTGGTCAAAACAGCTTGGTACTGGCACCATGAAAGATACATTGATCAATGGAACAGAATTGAGAATCCAGAAATTAACCTATTCACATACAGCCAAATGATTTTTGACAAAAGGTCTAAGTATATTGCAATAGGAGGAGATAGTCCTTTCAACAGATGGTGCTGGCAGAACTGGAAAGCGATATGCAAAAGATTGAAACAAGACCTTTACCTCATGCCATATTCAAAAACAAACTCAGCATGGATTAAATAACTAAATGTGAATCTCAGAATTATAAAATCCATACATGAAAAAATAGGGACAAATTTGAGGGCTCTAATACAGGGCTTCGGTATGGATTACATCTCAATGTAAAGAAAACAAAAATCCTCACCACTGGACCAATTCTTATCAATGGAGAAAAGATTGAAGTTGTCAAGGACTTCATTTTTCTTGGATCAACTATCAACACTCATGGAAGCAGCAGTCAAGAAATCAAAATTGGGCAAGTCTGCTGCACAAGGCCTTTTTAAAGTGTTGAAGACCAAAGAAGTCAGCTTGAAGACTAAGGTGCACCTGACCCAAGCCATGGTGTTTAAAATAACCTCATATGCATGTGAAAGCTGGACAGTAAATAAGGAAGACCATAGAAGAATCGATGCTTTTGAGTTATTGTGTTATAGGAGAATATTGAAAGTGCCACGGGCTGCCAAAAGAACCAATAGATCCGTGTTGGAAGAAGTGCAGCCAGAGTGCTCCTTCGAGGCCAAGATGGCCAAACTTCATCTCTCATACTTCAAGTATATTGTCAGGAGGGACCAGTCACTGGAGAAGGATATCATATTTGGTAAGGTGGAGGGTCAGAGACAAAAAGAGGAAGACTCCCAACGAGATGGATTGGCCAATTAGCAGCATCGATGGACTCAAGTGTGGTAACAATAGTGAGGCTGGCCCAGGTTCGGGCAGTGTTTTGTTCTGCTATGCACAAGTTCGCTATGAGTAAGTAGTGACTCGATGGCACCCAACAACAACAATAATACAGTGCACACACAGACGATCAAACACTGTGAAAATTACACAAAGTAGACAAAATTGATGGTTGGGACATACTAAAAATAAAAAAATCATGTGCATCAAAAGACTTTACCAAAAGAGTAAAAAGGAAGCCCACAGAATGGGAAAAAAATCTTTTGCAATGACACATCAGACAACGCACTAATTTCTAAAATATAGGATACTACAACATCTCTACAAGAAAAAAAAACAAATAACCCAATTAAAAAATGGGCACAGGACACGGACAGTCACTTCACCAAGGAGGACATTTGGGCAGCTAACAAACATATGAAGAAATGTTCACGATCACTAGCAATTAGAGAGATGCAAATGAAAACAATGAGATATCATCTCACACCAGCAGTAACAGTGAAGACGAAAAAGTAAGAGGACAATACATGCTGGCGAGAATGCAGAGATACTATGACCCTCCTACACTGTTGGGGGGATTGCAAAATGGTTCAACCATTCTGGAAAACAGTATGGTGCTTCCTCAGAAGGGTGGAAATAGAGATACCTTATGATCCAGCAAAGGAGCTCTAGTAGCGTAGTGGTTACGAATCGGGCTGTGAACCTCAGGGTCAACAGTTCGAAACTATCAGCTGTTCTGTGGGAGAAAGATGAGGCTTTCTGCTCCCATAAAGATTTACAGCCTCGGAAACCCTGTACAGGGTCGCTATCATGGCACATAACAACAACAATAACAATGATCCAGCAATTCCTCTTCTTGGTATTTATTGATCCACAAGAAATTCGAGCCATAACACGAGTAGTTATATAGTTATATGCAAACCAATGCTCAAAGCAGCACTATTCACAATAGCAAAAGGATGGAGACAGCCTACATGCCCATCAACGGAAGAAAGGATAAACAAACTTTGGTACATCCACACAATGGAATATTATGCTACCTTGAAGAATAACAAGGAAGCTGCTAGCCACCCCATAACATGGGTGAACCTTGAGGACATTATGCTGAGTGAAATTAGTCACAAAAGGACAAATATTGCATAGAACCATTATTGTAAAAGCTTAAGAAAAAGTACCTACACTAAAAGGGGGAAAAATTATTTTTTGGTTACAGGGGTATATGGGGTGGGACGAGGGGGAGGAGTTGAAGGTGGAGCACAGGGTAGGGAATAGACACAGGATAGTTTGGGTGCAGGAAGGGGAGTGCTGATACACAAGAAGGGGGAGGGGAATGGAAGAACAAGGCTGATGGTACAACAGTTAGGCAGGTTTGCCTGGGCTAAGTTGGACAGAGGTAAATAGTGATGTACGCCCAACCTTGGAACAACAGGACTCTGGGATACAGGGATTGAGGCATGGTTTGAATGGGTAACAGAGGGCAAATAATGTTAAGATGCTTGGTTGTCTTTTGAATCTTGGTTTCCCTTGCATACCATTGTAAAATAGACACTTGAGGGGGTAAGAAAGGAATAGCCAGAAACATCACCATAGAAAGTCTGTAAATCTGTCTTCAGCCTACAACTGATTGGAATACCTAAAACGGGGCTAGAACTTGTCCAGTGCAGAAGGCTTCCTGTGGAGCCTTTACACTGCATAAGACCATAGGTGGAATCCTGATCCTCATCCAGAATCTTCTGAGGTGGGAAATTTCCACTTGAAAGGACAAGCGACCAGCCTGGAGTGGCTAGAAGAACAGAAGATACTTCTTGAAAGAAAGATCAGCAGGAAAAATAAAAAACAATAATGGCAGTCTGACTGACTACTACAAGAACAAGCAAGTTGTTTGCTGGGGAGCCATCAAGGCAAGCCGTTGGGTCCCCTTAGGGCAAACCCCCTTCCAAGACTGAGACTCAAGGGGAATACACAAGCAAGCATGTGGTCTTGCTGGTAACCACCTTGGTCTATTGATGAGGGGAAGTGGGGGAAAACAGCAATGACGTTGTGAGCTTAGTCCAATCACATTCAATAGACGCCTGTCAACCTGGGTTGAGACCTGGTTGGCCAGCAGTATGGTGAGACCCTATGACTCCTGGGCCCAGGGACAGGGACATAGCCACAGAGGACTACAGCAGAGTGTTAAGCGTCCAGCTGATAGGAAGTGAGGGGAGATGCACAAGAACACCCACACTTGCAGATAGTACCCACTTGACTTGGCTTCAATGGATGGATGATCAGAGCTCAAATAGAGGAAGAAAGAGGAGGAAAAAAAAAAAGAGTAATCTGCTACAATTTGATAAACTTGACCTATACTTACGGATGTAGTAGCTCAAGAGAGGGAACGAGTCTTTACAGCAAGGATCATTCCCACTTCCTCGGTATACAGGATTGGCATGGATAGGCAACTCAGACACTGGCTACCCAAAATAGGGGCTTCCAATACATGAAGTGACTGGCTTACAAGCTTTCAAGAGGGAGCCTACTTACAGAGGGTGCGGGGAAAGGTAGAATCTCCACTGAGTGGTTTCCAACCTGTCTGGATGGGGCTGGTTAAAGGAGATGGGAATAAGACTTTTGTGGTTCCATAGTGAATAATTGCTATCAGGACTGACTATGAGAGTTGGAAAGGTAAAGGCAGACATTTTGTAACAAAAGGAAGGGAGTGGTTGATTTTGCAGTCCAGGAGCGGAGGACCCTGGGACCACCAAGGGAGAAGAGTGGAGCGCAGGACCCTATTCAAAGAAGCAGTGACTCCCAGAGATGGAGGCAGAGACGATGATGTGGAGAGATGGAGTGGTTGGGGACTCTGGACTCAGGGAGGGAGAGGGGCTGTGTGCTGGTCTGCGGCGGGGGGTGGGAGGCAGGTTTATGGGGTGTACCCTTTGGTTGTTTGAATGGTTATATATTCCTGAGTGCTTTGGTGTACTTCCAAACAACAACAACAACAAACAGAGGAAATGGAAGCAAATGCTGTTGATTGATATGGCATGAAGGGGATTGTAATCATTGCAATGAAATGAAATACGATAGGATGACTGTAAAGCTGATGTTCTCCCATGTAAACTATCACTCAATTCACGATAAAAACTTAAAAAACAAAAACAAAAAACAAAAAGAGTTAAAGGGAACCAAGATAAATGCTATTGTATACACAGTCCTGCAATAACAATGATTTGTGAGTTAATGCTTGGATCAATATGCAGGTTGAATGTATGTGAGAGGGCAAGTGGGATTATACCTATAAATATAAATAGGTTTGACAGAGGATATTTCTACATGTGTATTTACCTATGCTGCAAATATAACCATAAATGGAAGCAATTCATCCAATGCACCCCGTGAACATCTATGACTCTGAATCCCAAAGAACTAGATGGTACCAGGTAACAGTACTAACTGCTCTGAAAGGGATTGCATTAGAAGGTCCTGGATAGAGTGGAGGGTAAAGGTGGAACAAAAATTATTTTAAAGAAACAAAGAAAAGACCAAGCTTACTGATTTGGTAGATACTGGTGGAATTCCTTAGACTATGCCCCTTAGTTTTAATTCAGGTCTAGAACTGAACTTACTCCTGTGGTTCAATCAGCCAAATAATAGAAAGGTCTATAAAAGGACTGATAACATGATGGCGGTACATACACGTTAGAAGAAGTCACCATTTGAGATCAAAAGGGCAGCATTTACCCAAGGACAAAGTTCAAAGCATTAGAAGCGAAGGGGGAATGGAAATGGTAAACACCAGGAGTAAGTGGGATAAGCGATGTTACATTGTGGAGATACAATCAATTCTACGAGGCAAAATGTGTATGAATTATTGAACAGAAATTATTGGATAGAAAAGTGATTTGTTTTAGAAATCTTCACCCAACTCACAATAAGAAAAAGTTTTTTAAAATGAAAAAAAATTATAATCTGGAGGCGTATGCAATTTGCAAAGTAGTTTAAAAGGAGGAATGGAAACACAAAATACAAGGAAAAAGTGGGATAAGTGATGTTACAATGGGAATTGCAATCAATGACATGAAATCAACCATGTGAATTGCTGAATGGAAAATTGAGGACCTGCTCTGTAAACCTCCATCCAATTTACAACACAGAGTTTTTGTTTTTAAAGCAGGTTTAGCTTCTTCATAAAACTTCCATTGTACATTATGAGTACTTAAAAATCCCTTGGGGATCTCTAAGCATAACCTGGGGATCTTGTTAAAATGTAGGTTGATTCAGTATATCAAGGGTGGAAAGGCAAATTCTTAGCAAGGGCGTCAAACTGGAATGAACCAATTTAAAGCCCTGATGTAAAGGAAATGTGCTGACAAACAATATGCTAAAAAAAAGGTAGTTGTGGAAGTTTGTCTCAGTTAAATTCTACTCTCTAACAATAAAAAAGACAACAAAAACCCTTCAATGTTATACCAATATGCAAATGATCCATACAGTTCTTGTACACAAACTTTTTCAATATATGCACTGGTAACTAATAGGAAGGAAATGTGTAAACCCATTTTTTAACAGAGGATCTGTTCCATAGAATTCATTATATCAATATTGGTAAAAGTAGTATGATCTCTTGGCCACAATGTTGTAGTTGTTAAGTGCCGTCAAGTCGGTTCCAACTCAGTGACCCTGTATCTAAGGAGCAATTAAACCAACGACCTCATAGTCAGCAGTCTAGAGTTAACCCTCCAGTGCTCATATTTAAACGTGTATGTGTAATTATATTTGTTAAAACAGAATATTCTTTTTGTACATCTTTAAACTAGACAAAACTCATTGCTGCTAAATCTATTCTGACTCACAGCAGGACAGAGTAGAATTGCCCCCATAGGAATTCCAAGGCTGTAATCTTTGGAGTCCCTAGTGTGGCACTGTAGGATAAAGCACTGGACTTTAAGGTCAGTTTCAACTTCAAGGTGGCAGTTCAAATTCACCAGCCACTCCTTGGAAACCCTACACAGGGTTGCTATGAGTCAGAGCCAACTCAATGACACTTAACAACAATAAGAATCTTTAAGAGCTGCTGGTGGGTTTGAACAACTGACATTTTGGCTTGCAGCCAAGCATGCAACCACTGTGCCACCAGAATTCATTCCCTTACATCATTAAAGACTGTTAAATTCTTACCTGGAGGAATATGCAGTTTAAAAAGCAGTTTAAGCTTCTCAGTAAAACTTCCATTGTACATTATGTCTGTTCAATAAAATTCAATGGCAAATAATCAGGTATCTAAAGAACATTCAATTAATTCTAGCAACACAGATTAATTAAGATAGAGATATTAGCCAAGAGTCAGGATTCAGAAACCTTCTGTTACTGAAATTAATAACTGAATAATCACCCAGACAGCCAGTTCTTCTCCCTCAAGTATATAAGCAACTATCCCCCCTCCATTTTTTTCAGGAACTTAATGTTTATTAAATGGTTAATTGAATGGACAAATGAATGAGCCATGCTATTGTTCCAAGGCTCAGTGGTTACTTAAAGATATTTAATAAATATTTTTGCATAAATTTTTAGCATAAATTTCCTATACTAATGGAAAAAAAATCCCTCTATGAATTTAAGTTAGGGTTTTGATTATAGAATGCATCCTGGGCTTTGTAAGAGCAATGGTTGACTTTCTCTTTGTACACACTCTTGTTTTATATGCTCTAAGCTTCAGGGAAGATATCTGGGAAACAGTAATTTTGAGAGCTTAGAGAAAATACAAGCCAAAGAAAACTATTGTGATTCTTCCCTTGGAGAAGATTATTGGGAAAATGCTGAGTTGTAACAACTTGGATCGAAAGCTGAATATAAAATCCCAAACAAAGAGGAGTCAAGCCCAGGGTAACATGTAAGTCAAAGGAAAGCAGCAGAGGAGGGGTGTGGAACATGAGGTTATATGATAAAAGTTCAGAGTTTAAGCAACTATCCTTTATCAGAGGCATAAAATGCTCTCCTGCTGGTCTCCTTTCCCCCCAATCTCTCAGATTTCTGTTTTTCTCTGGAATGAACACTTAAGCCTCATTTGAGGAGAGAACTGCTCTTTAGTGTGCAATCCCTGATAGCAAAGCATGCTTTGGTGGTCTAAAAAACCAAAGAAATAAACAATAAAACAGGTACAACCTGTTTGTACCACTGTTCTAGCTTGGAATTTTACTAAGGTGGAACATCTGTTTATAGTGCCCATGTACCTGCGTGTGAAGAAAACCTATGCTCATTCTCTCTTCCTTCATTGAAACACTCATATCTACAGCTTACTTTTCTAGTAGGACTGTAATAAAATTAGATCAATATATTTAGATTTGGCAGCAAACATGGAAAAAGATCCAGTTATCGCTAAATTGGAGACACTGCAACCCAAGATGGTAATAATGAACTAAAGTGGTGATAATGAGCAGTATTAAAGATTTATAGGACTTTCTTTCTCTATTTATTTTACTTTAAAAAAGAAAACAATTGGATATCATCCTACCAATTGCAGAGGAGAATTCTTTGAAGTTTATAAGGCAGTCAGAGTTTTCATCCAACAATCTGAATGTCCACAAAGCTAGTGAGTCTCTGTTTTCAGAATGAGCCCAGGGACTCAAGAAGTGATACAATACTCTGAACTGCTGGCAGTCAATCTGATACTGCTCCAAATATGGTAGACTGGGGTCATGGTGCTTCAATACTGGACAATTCAAACACCAATAGCATGAAAGAAACAGTTCTTTCTATTAAAAACAAAAAACAAATAAAAGTCATTACATCAGAAAAGGTAATTTTGGAAGAGTTTGTTCTTTTAAACATGTTTGTTAAAATAATTAAAGATACAATATTTAAACATGGTTGTCATCAAAGTCTGCTAAAAGAGTATTGTTTTTCATTTAAAGAAGAATAACAATACCTTAAAGATGACATAAAGTTCATCCAATTCATGAAGGCTCAATTTCACATCCTGTGACACGACACGCAACTTTTAAAAGAAGAAAAGCGTTTTAGAATCCAGAACTTAACATTTCAATTTAAAAATTCTCTCTCAGTTCATTTATAGCTCTTCTGCTAGAAGAAACTCTATAGTTCTTTTAACTTTTTATAGGCAAATGCACTCATTATAGTTTTAAAAAATGTGCATAGACTATAGCGCAATTCTGCACTGAAACATACTTTGAGACCTTAATTTATGCATGTCCTCAAAAATCACTGCCAAAGACAGTCATTTAAAGTCTATAAATAAGCAACAATATTTACAAGTCTCATTTGATAAACTTTGCTCTTAACACAAACAATTTGTCAAGGCATCATGTGGGGACTGTCAATGATAAACTACTTCAAAAGGTATTGGGAGATGTACATCTCTCTCTGTGCCAAAAATTATAACCCAAGAAGCTTAAACAATATTCAACTTTATACTACTCCATGGAAAATAAGCACTAGTGGTAAAATTATTATAACTTTAAGAAATCTAAAATTAAGGGTAAAGATGATAAAAGGTATCATTAATTAAAGAGGGAAAACTTAACAACAACAACAACAACAGTGACTTGATAAATAAACAAAAGAGTTGGCTATTTGAAAAAATAAAATAAAATAGACAAATCTTTGGCAACTGCGATAAGTGAAATCAGCAGTAAACATCACTGAGAAGGAAAGGGATAATATAAACATAAATACACAGGCCAATAACAGTACATAAAGGTATCCTTAAGTATTCAATACACGAATTCCAAAAGGTTTATACCAATACATCTGAAAGTCTACATGAAATGGATAATTCTCCAGGAAAATATAAATGGCCAAAATTAACTTAGAAATTTAAAAAATGGAATAGACGTAACTGGAAAGGTAATCAAAGATCTACCTCCCATCAAAGAGACACTAGAACCAGACGCTTTAAAAGGTTCATTTTTGAAAACCTTCAAGTAAAAGATAATTCTCATGTAATGTCTATTAATCCAGAAGATAGAAAAATACGAATTATTCAAAAATTCATTCTGATGTGAAAATAAAAGTTACTAATACCTAAAAGAAAACTGTAACCAATGTGTTGCCTAATAAAGATGTAAGAACCTAGCTGAACTACTAGCAAAATGAGCAAGGAAAATAGTAAAAGAATGATACATTGTGAACAAATAGGATTTATTTTAAGGATGCAAAGGAAATCTAGTATTAGGAAATCTTTAATGTAAATCACTACACTAGTAAAGTAGAAAAACACAGACTCAAGCTGTGGAAAAGTCATTGATCAATCTTGATTAAAAAAAGAAAAGAAAACCATCTTATTTAATGAAGGTCTTACCCAAGCAATAAGATTTTTTTTTTTAAAAGTATATGCAGAAGGATCAAACTGTAAGACTGGAAATGACAGGCTTGTATATTTTAAAAACTCAGGAAATGCAACTGAAAAGTAATAGAATAATAAAGTGGTCATTTACAAAAGCACCATACCCAAACCAATAAATTTTATATTCACAGCAATAAGCAATAAGAATCTGTAATGAAAAAAAACTCATTTATATTAGCAACAAAACCATAAAATACATAGGTAGAGAATGTATAAGAATGTATAAGATCTTTCTAATAAGAAATGTATAAGATTGTAAAAGAAACTATAATTCTTTACTAAAAGACATTAAAATAAACAATTAAAAATACACTAAAAAGGACATTTAAAAAAAAATCTTGGATCCATTTCTGGTTTTGGTGGTGGTAGAGACAGCCAAGTAGGAAAGGCTCCATGGGCGAGGGATTGAAATCCCAGAGAAACTGCGCTCAAGGAACAACACCAGAGCTCTGGATCTAGCATATGGTGCAGGGTGTCAGTTTTCTGCACATGTAAGTGGAAAATTCATGATATAAAGGAAAATACTGTGAGTTAGGAATCGCTCGAGACAGAACTTCCTCTGTGGCCACCCCACCCGGGTGGAGTTCTGGGGGCAGGGCTACAGCCAGACTGGCACAGGGAACCAGCAATAAAAGTGGTGCAGTGACATTTGCAAAAGGAGGTGTGGGGGATTCTACACATTTTTTTCCTCCTCTTCCCTGCCATGCCTTCTTTGCCCAACCCGGATGCCTTCAGGCGGGTGGTTGCACACCCCCCTAAAAAAGTCTAGCGCTGAGCCGACAGTTTTCCTACAGCACAGAAAGAAAGAGCTTGGAGACTGCTTATGACGTTAGCCTCGGGGTTGTAGCCCTAAAATTAACTTGCGCAGGGCCCTTTACTCCAGCCTATCTAGCAAGAAAAAAGCAGGCCCATCAGGCCTGACAGACAAACCATAGGAACAATCTATAAAACCCCAATATAAAAGGACACAATTATCTCCAGAATTACGCTGTGCACATGCAGATACCTAGGTGACCTTAACAGACAAAAACAGCAATCATTCTCACATTAACTTCTCAACATCTATCTGTGCACCTCTACTGTGGTGACTAGAGGAGGGGCCTGAGTGAGTGGACACCCCCACCCACTGCTGGAGGCTTCTACGGTGCACACACACTGCTGTGTAGCAAGGTGACTGGAGAGTTGGCCACAGTTTTATTTTTGTTTCAAAGTGGTGGCTTTTGTCTGTGCTTTTATATTGCTTCTGCTTTTGGTCCTTTTGATCACACATTTTTCCTGGAGGTGGGAGCTTTTTCTCGCTACGTTACCCAAGAAGAGATGACTATCATGGCCATACAGCCAAGCTACAAGCATACCCCATTATATTCCACCACTGAGAAAAGAGCCAAGAACAGCTGCTAAGCATTACATGTGAAAAGGGAAGCCCATCTCCTGATCATATCCACCAGGAGACACCCAATAAGCTTAATAACACAACAACAAACATCCATTTAAGCATTTAAAAACCCACATAACTACTGGAAATGACAAACAAAACACAACAAAAGATCTCAAACCATGTCCCAAAACAAAAAAGACTAACTGAGATAAATGTGCTGGAGATCGACAAAGGCTCCACAGAACAGGAAGAGCAGGTTTTGGATTTGCCTGAGAAGGAATTCAGAAGAATGATATGGAAACAAATTCAAATGCCCTGAAAAGGGGTGGAGGAAAACAAGGAAGAAGTCAGGAAAGAACTACAAGAGCAAGATGGATACAGCACTGGAAACAATCCAAAACCTGTAAAAAGAGGTCCAGATGATTAATAATAAAATATCAGAAATGGACAATACACTGAAAGGGGAAAGGAGCAGAATACAAGAGATGGAAGCCAGAACTAGTGAGCTGAAAGACAAATCTCTCAATACTGCTAAGACAGAAGAGCAAGCAGAAAAAAGGAAAAAAAAAATCTGAAGAGAGTCTAAGATTCATGCTGGATAACATGAAGAGGAGCAACTTAAGAATTATTGGCATTCCAGAACAGGAAGAATCACAGAAGTCCACAGAAGAGATAGTTGAAGAGCTTCTGGAAGAAAATTTTCCTAACATCTTGAAACGAGAAGATAAACATTCAAGAAGCTGAACGTGCCCCAGGAAGGATAGACCCCAAAAGAAAGTCACCAAGACATATAGTAATCAAGCACTCCAAATTCAAAGACAAGGAGAGAATCCTAAAAGCGGCCAGGGAAAAGAGAAGTGTCACTTACAAAGGCAAGCAAATCAGATTAAGCTCTGAGTTCTCAGCAGAAACCATGCAGGCAAGAAGGCAATGGGGAGACATATGTTGTTGTTGTTGTTAAGTGCCGCTGAGTAGGTTCCGACCCATAGCAACCCTGTATAGGGTTTCCAAAGAACAGCTGGTGAGCTTGAAATGCTGACCTTGCAGTTCAAACAGCTTTGCAGTCTGGTGCATTATCCCAGAGTGCCACACCAAGACTCCGGGGAGACATATACAAAACCCTTATAGAAAAAAACTTGCCAACTAAGAATCATCTATCCAGAAAAACTGTCAATCAAATACGATGGTGCAATCAAAACATTCCAGGATAAACAAAAGCTAAGAGATTTTGTCAAAACCAATCCAGCACTTCAAAGCATCCTAAAGGGAGTTCTTTGGAGTGAAAACCAACAAGAACAGACAACAACCAGAGATTGACAGGCATGGCAACACTACCTGGAACTCAGTCGACAGACAGCAGAGTTCAGAACAGAACAAAACTACAACAACTAATTCAAAGGAGCTGGGAGGTCAACCAAAGATCAAAATTATATCAATGTCAAAGAAGGAATAAATGTAGGAACAGAGATCTGGGTGGTGAGGCTGTCACGTAGATTACAGGATACAATAGATTCTCTTAAATGGAGAGAAAAGTTAATAGACTATAAGGTAACCCCAAAGAAAGTTAATACTTCACAACTTACCTTGAAAATGAACTTCCAAGCAGAAAAAGCAAACATGAAAACTAAGAAGAAACTGACAAGATATAGCACAAAACCCCACAAATTCAGCACAAGAAGGCATGCAGAACAAAGGAATGAACAGCACTATCAAAAAACTTATATGATGGCAGAAGTTAATTCATACCTATCGATAATTACATTGAATGTCAATGGATTGAATGCACCAGTGAAGAGACTGAGAGTGGCAGATTGGATAAGAAAACAAGACCCTTCAATATGCTGCCTACACCTTACACACAAAGACAAAATCAGACTAAAAGTTAAAGGATGGAAAAAATATACCAAGCTAACTGCAACAATAAACAAGGAGGAATAGCAATTCTAATCTCTGACAAAGTAATCTTTAAGACAAAAACCAGCATAACAGATAAAGAAGGACACTACCTCATGATCAAAGGGTCAATTGAGCAAGATGACATAACTACAATAAATATGTACACTCCCAATGAAAAAGCACCGAGATATATGAAGCAAACCTTACTAGAATTGAAGAAAGAAACAGATAAATCTACAATTATAGTGGGAGATTTTAATATGCCACTTTCAAAAAGGGACAGAACAAACAGAAAGGAACTCGACAAAGTTACAGAGGAACTAAACAGCACAATCAACCAACTTGACCTCATAGACGT